CATAAAGTTAAAAATGGTTTACCTTTTGTTTACTTTTTTGTGGCTTGATTGCAATTACCCAAAAAATACCTTTCCGTAAGGGCCCATTCACACCCAGGCCGCTGAAAATGAATGATGCTGCAACGCATGTATGTTTTTATTCCCATGGGCTATGACGACATGCACTATCAAATTGCAACTGATAGGGGTGAATGGGCCCTAAAGTTTGCAGACTGTAGTGTTTTGGACAACATCGCAGCCGTAACTGATCAGGCAATTCGATTGAACATCAAACTGTCTCTTGATCGCTCCATTGATTAGAAAAATGTAAAATGATTTGCTATACTCACCATGAAAATAATACTGTCCTTCACAATTAAAAGTAAATAGCAAATTCACATACTAATATTATGCGCCGATGACTTTCTAGTATTGCTCTTTAAAGGGCCAGACACCCAAATCTAATATTTTTGTTTTTGGTAGTTGCTGTAGATTTTAACCATCAGCATACTTATATCTTGCATTGTCTTTATTGGTGAGATCTCGCATCTGCACATCCACTATGACCATTTTGATGGGCTTCCTCCATCCCTGAGCTCAGTTCTCAGGTTTACACAGATACTGTGGGCATTAGGAGGGCCTTCTGCTAATCATGCTGGATTTTTCATACATTTTGTATTATGTAAAATGTAATGGAAAAAGCTTGAATGCAAAGGTGGATGAAATCACCAAGGTGGACAGATACAGGAATTATGGCGGGAGATTTAACTGTTGGACTATCCAAGACTTTTGGGTGCCAGCAGTTTAATATTATTTCCAATTTAATTAATTTATTGAAATGACAGGTTTCCTTTAACCCCTTTAACGGGGGTTAGGTGGCATAGCACACAGAATACAGAGGTCAGAATTGGGTGTCAAACAGAGCACAGGCTCTAAAGTCCAAACATCACATGAATAAATGTGAGGCTACCACCTAAATTATCAAGACAACTGCTGGATAAATAAAAACATGTGCCTGGATCACAGCTACACACATCGTCAGGAAATATGTAAGACAAAAAGGGTCAGGACAGGGGGGGAATCTAATACTCAAGAAATGTTGACGCATTTCAGCCCCAAACTGGGCCTTAGTCGAAACCGGGAACATGCTAAGGCCATGTTTTGGACTGAAATGCGTAAACCTTTCTTGTATATTGGAATCCCCCTGTCTTGATGGATTTGCAATAAAGAATTAATATTTTTATGTTTGTGTTATTGCATGTTGCCAAACTTTTTTTCATCTTTAATATTCCCTGACAGGGACAAGAGTGCATAATGCTCTGAGTACAGAGCTCAGAAGTGCATAACACAGAGAGTTCAGGGGTGAGGAGAATGTAATGTGCAAAGGTGCAGAGGCCCAGAGTGTGTAATGCACAGAGTTCAGGGGTCAAGAGTGCATAATGCACAGAGTGTAGGGATCAGAATAATTTATTGTAGATAGTGCAGGGGTCCCGAGTGAATAAAGTGCACAGGATTATGGTGTGCATAATGTAGAGAGTGCAGGGGTGAATAATGCAGAGTGCAGGGGTGAATAATGCAGAGTGCAGGGGTTAGGAATATGTAAAAGACAAAGTTTATGGGTCAGGAATGTATAAGGTCAGGAATGTATAATGTAGAGAGAGTGTAGGGGTCTTGAGTGAATAAAGTGTGCAGGATTATGGTGTGCATAATGTAGAGAGTGCAGGGGTGAATAATGCAGAGTGCAGGGGTTAGGAATATGTAAAGGACAAAGTTTATGTGTCAGGAATGTATAATGTAGAGAGTGCAGGGGTCCCGAGTGAATAAAGTGCACAGGATTATGGTGTGCATAATGTAGAGAGTGCAGGGGTGAATAATGCAGAGTGCAGGGGTTAGGAATATGTAAAAGACAAAGTTTATGGGTCAGGAATGTATAATGTAGAGAGTGCAGGGGTCCTGAGTGAATAAAGTGTGCAGGATTATGGTGTGCATAATGTAGAGTGCAGGGGTGAATACTGCAGAGTGCAGGGGTTAGGAATATGTAAAGGACAAAGTTTATGTGTCAGGAATGTATAATGTAGAGAGTGCAGGGGTCCCGAGTGAATAAAGTGCACAGGATTATGGTGTGCATAATGTAGAGAGTGCAGGGGTGAATAATGCAGAGTGCAGGGGTTAGGAATATGTAAAAGACAAAGTTTATGGGTCAGGAATGTATAATGTAGAGAGTGCAGGGGTCCTGAGTGAATAAAGTGTGCAGGATTATGGTGTGCATAATGTAGAGTGCAGGGGTGAATACTGCAGAGTGCAGGGGTTAGGAATATGTAAAGGACAAAGTTTATAGGTCAGGAATGTATAATGTAGAGAGTGTAGAGGTCAGAAGTATGTAATGCGCAGAGTGCAGGGGTTATGAGTACATAATGCAGAGAGCGCAGGGGTAAGAAGTACATAGTGCACGGGGCAGTGTACAGAATACAACCAAAAATTCCTCCCTCCTCCCATATTTCCAAGCCAGTATCCTCCATAGTACAGATCTCCAAACAGTACCACCCCCCAACCAGTAAAGTTCTCCCCCTACAGCTCTAAAACACCCCTCCCCAGCCAACTTGCTCAGTACAGACTACCCCTCCCAGCCTATCCTTCAGTAGATCCCCCCCAAACCCCCCACTGCTTAATCCCTTACTACAGGCCCCCCCCCCCTATAAAGATCCCCCTCCTGCACAGACCTCTTTTCAGTACAGATCGCCCCCTCCCTCCCTTACACTTATTGATGAGATGCAGCAGTTTACAGAGTCAGGTCGTTACCAAAGAACATTAAACTACACCATTTTTTATTCTAAAGAAATTGAGACAAACTGATAACCTTGATATCAAAAAAGGACAATTCATGCCATGTTTGAGAAACAGCTAGAGTCAAATGATGTGGGCCGTTATCGATAAAGACTCATTAGTGCTTTTCACAGTCTGCCGTCGTCCATCGTGATATCAAAATTAGACCCAGTTGGAAACCTTTTACAGATACTTTGTGTTCTGAGAATCGCTTTGAGGCATAATTATGTTGGAATTTTTATACATAATACTCAAAGAAGAATGTTCACTTTGACAGTTCTTTGAAGTTTTAAATGTGTTTATTGAATTCAACAGCCAAGGTTTTGGATTGAGATTTGGGTCTTTCAATAATATTTACACCTTAGTGTTGCCCACTTTGGATCCATCTCTGGAATGTTTGGACATTGTGTTTAAGGTTCAAATACCCTCATGATGACATGTTAGGCCCCTTTCACACGGGGTGGATTCTGTTCCAATTAGCAGGGTATCAGCTCCTCAGTTCCCTGCTGATCAGAGCAGATCAGGTGGATGACACATCTGTGTCTGCTCAGTTTCTGCAGAGCAGACACGGACAGACCCCGCTCTGATCTATGGAAAATTGGGAGTAAATGGACTCCGCTGTCCATTTACACCAGACTACCTTCTGATTGGATCCGCCTAAATGGACAAAGGAAGCATCCCGTTTTTTTTTTTTTTTTTTAGTGCACCGGATCGGACCCATCTGTACATAGTAATGCGTGGACCTTCTGATCAGGTCTGATTGGATCACACACATGAAAGGGCCCTTAAGATGGTTGCTCAGTCCGGGCGGCAGTTTTTTGTACTTCAGATGTATCCAGTCATTCTTCTTTCCCAAATTCAGCAATGAAAGGATTAGATTAGGATACCTTAGTTCGCAAAATTCCAGTAAAATGAAACTGCTCCATTTGTCTTGCTCGACCATAAGATTAATTGTGAAGATGTACCGGCTTGCACAGATAAAGACATCAATGAACCTTGACACGTTTCACACAATGTGCTTAATCGCAAGGGTAACATACTGTATATCTAGCTGCCAGCAGGAAACAATTGTGAGATAAAATTCAATGTTCCATTTAATCAAACTACTACAATCAACATAGCAGATGCTTCATTTATAAGTATCAAGAGTTCAAATAAAATTCAACTACAAATAAAATGTTACTTTAAGCCTGAGTTCACATGTCTGCGGTGCGGTACATCGCATGTGATTCGCACAGGAACTGCACCACATTCCTGTGCAAATCACATGCGACTTGTGTGTGGTGTGATTGGAGCATCGGCGGACTGACCGTTCCAGCACTTGGGCACCATGAAATGCCCCTGGTAACTTTTATAGGCTTTTTTGGGTGTGCTTTGAGTGTGGGCAAGGACACAGGGGCCCCTTGATCCCCTATTGCCCGGGTGCCCCATGAGTTGTCAGTCCGCCCCTGGATTGGAGCCATACATTTTGTATGGCTCTAATCGCACCGCACCTGCACAAAAAAGGTGCAGTACCCTTTTTTGGTATTCACACCTATGTGATCCGATTCTGCACATCACACCGTGTTTTGCGGACCGTTTTCGGGATGTTATTAACTTAACATACACACCCACAGCAGTTCGCATGAACGGGGTGCGATTCTAATACGGTGCAGAATTTGCACAGAAAAAGCTGCGAATTCCACACCGCATCAGTGTGAACCCATGCTTAACATCAACTAATATCAACATAATATACTCTGCCAAACTGTAAACATCTAAAAAAGAAAACAAATGAATAACAAAATTCTCGGGGCTTGTGCACACAGGGAGGTTTGTCTGCATGCGTTTTTGTACATACCCATTAAAATTAATTAAGCCAATGAATTGTCACTTTGAGATGCTCTCCTACACATTTAATGAATTCATTTTATCCACAATTGCTCTGAACTAACTCATAACCTTTTTATTATATTTTGCCATACCTATAAGATTCTCTCCTGGGGATTCTCCTTCCTCCCCTTTTTTTTTCCCCCCTGTCCTTCGGAAAATCTCTTCTCATTCACTTCTATAGCCGGCTGTCCAGCTCCCTGGCATGGAAAACTCTGGGAATTTTATGCTGGAGGACATTTGTGTGCATGTACAATATACCCATAATGTTCTTTAAATCGGATGTAAACCTCAGAAATGAAATATGAGCAAAGCATATCTCTCTATAGTGTGTACTTGTCTCAATTAAAGTAGAAGTAAAGTCCACTTTGTAAGTTGTACCTACAGGTAAGCCTAATGGCGGACTGACAACTCACGGGGCTCCCGGGCAATAGGGGATCATGGGGCCCCTGTGTCCTTGCCCAAACTCAAAAAAAGCCTATGAAAAAGGTACCAGGGGCATCTCATGGGGCCCCCTATTGACCCCGGGCCCTCGGGCAGTGCCCGGGTTTCCAAATGGTCAGTCCGCCCCTGGGTAAGCCTATAATAGGACTTATCTGTAGGTACAGTGAATATCTCCTAAACTTGCACCGCTTCCCAGAGCATGCAGTGATGTCATTGGTGCATACAATCTGAAGCCATGCCATTCATGGTGCCGGAGCCTGCGGACCCGGAAGGAAGACTGGGTGAAGATGGCAGCGCTGGGAAGCCATGACAGCGTGGTGCTGGTAAGTCTGTCACAATGTACTAGCATGCGGTGCATATTAGTATATTATGACCTAAACCTGCAGGGGGCCTATTATTTTTGGAGTTTTTTAATTTGGTTTGCTACCATTTTAAGAGCATTTAAGCCCCATACACGCAATGAGAATATCAGATGAAAGCTGTGTATAATGAACAGATTAACATATGATTGCTTTGAAAGCGGTATGTTTTGTACGATTTTCTGTTCGTGTGTACTAGGCTTAAGTGTAAGTTCTGTCTGCTGCTTTATTTCTTTACTATCAACATGAATCACTTCTGACAAATTTTCCTGACACTAAGAAAAATAGTGACAGGGGAGGAACCTCTGGGATATTGACAGCCTCAGCTCTGTTCCTGTGAGCTGTGTGAAGGAGGTGTGTCCCTTTTTCTCCAGTCAGCTCTCAGAACTCTCCTTTACTGAGCTCTGCAGAGTGTAACTTCAGCTTTTCTGCCCCTTTTTTCTGAACTCTCAGACAAGCTGTTTAAATTCTGCACTTTGAACAGATGTAAAGAAGAAAAGACTGCAGATAGACTCACATTTTGTAGGAGGATTTGTTTCATCTCTGTGTATCACCTAAGGACAATCACATCACTGGGTGTATGGAAGGGTTTACAACCACTTTAAGCAAATAATGGAAGAATTGCCTTTATTTATTTTCATTTATTACAGGTATTTATAGTGCCAACAACATACACAGCGCTTTACATATATACACTGCTCAAAAACATTAAAGGAACACTTTGAAAACACATCAGATCTCAATGGGTAAAAATATCATGCTGGATATCTATTCTGATATGGACTGGGTAATGTGTTAGGAATGTAAGGATGCCCCATTGTTTGATGGAAATGAAAATTATCAGCCTACAGAGGACTGAATTCAAAGACACCCCAAAAATCAAAGTGAAAAAATGGCCCAGCACACTAGTTCATTTTGCAGACATTTCATTGCAGCAACTCAGAATGGTCCTCAGTAGTTTGTATGGCCCCCACGTACTTGTATGCATGCCTGACAACGTCGGGGGAGGCTCCTAATGAGACGACGGATGGTGTCCTGGGGTATTTCCTCCCAGATCTGGACCAGGGCATCACTGAGCTCCTGGACAGTCTGAGGTGCAACCTGGCAGCGTCGGATGGACCAAAACATGATATCCCAGAGGTGTTCTATTGAATTTGGGGGCCATTCAATGGTATCAATTCCTTCATCCTCCAGGAACTGCCTGCATACTCTTGCCACATGAGGCTGGGCATTGTCGTGCACCAGGAGGAACCTAGGAACCACTGCACCAGTGTAGGGTCTGACAATGGGTCCAAGGATTTCATCCCGATACCTAATGACAATCAGGGTGTTATGGTCTAGCCTGTAGAGGTCTGTGCATCCCTCCATGGATATGCCTCCCCAGATCATCACTGACCCACCACCAAAACGCTCATGCCGAATTATGTTACAAGCAGCATAACCTTCTCCATGGCTCCGCCAGACTCTTTCACATCTGTCACATGTGCTCAGGGTGAACCTGCTCTCATCTGTGAAAAGCACAGGGTGTCAGTGGTGGACCTGCCAATTCTGGTGTTCAATGGCAAATGTCAATCGAGCTTTATGGTGCCGGGCAATGAGCACAGGGCCCACTAGAGGACGTTAGGCCCTCTGGACACCCTCATGAAGTCTGTTTCTGATTGTTTGGTCAGAGACATTCACACCAGTGACCTGCTGGAGGTCATTTTGTAGGGCTCTGGCAGTGCTCATACTGTTCCTCCTTGCACAACGGAGCAGATACCGGTCCTGCTGATGGATTAAGGACCTTCTTCGGCCCTGTCCAGCTCTCCTAGAGTAAATGTCTGCCTCCTACAATCTCCTCCATGCTGTTGAGACTGTGCTGGGAGACACAGCAAACCTTCTGGCAATGGCACGTATTGATGTGCCCTCCTGGAGGAGTTGGCCTGCCTGTGCAACCTCTGTAGGGTCCGGGTATTGCCTCATACAGGGGCGGACTGACAACTCATGGGGCGGACAGAACTCAAGCTCAATGACATTGACCCTGTAAGGCCATGTGACCATATATGGTCAATGGTGTCACAAGCATCCTAGTCCCTTTATGTACATGCAACTTTGGGACAGGGATTCCCCACTCAACCCAGTTTTAACATTGGGTCTGAACCAGGGGCGGACTGACAACTCATGGGGCCCCCGGGCAATAGGGGATCATGGGGCCCCTGTGTCCTTACCCAAATTCAAAAAAGCCTATGAAAAAGGTACCAGGGGCATCTCATGGGGCCCCCTACTGACCCTGGGCCCTCGGGCAGTGCCCGAGTTTCCAAATGGTCAGTCCGCCCCTGGCCTCATGCTACCGGTAGTAAGACTGACGCTAGCCAAATGCAAAACTAGTGAAAAACTGTCAGAAAAGATGAGTAGGGAAAAAAATGTCAGTGGCCTCCACCTTTAAAACCATTCCTTTTTTGGGGGTTATCTCATTGTTGCCCATCTAGTACAATTTAATTAACACCAAAGCAGCTGAAACTGATTAACAACCCCCTCTGCTACTTAACTGACCAGATCAATGTCCCAGGAGTTTCATTGACTTGATGCTAGACTCTGACTAAACAGTGTTCCTTTAATTTTTTTGGAGCAGTGTATGTGTGTATATATATATATATATATATATATATATATTGTACATTCACATCAGTCCCTGTCCTCAAGGAGCTTACAATCCCTCTCACATGCATCCATACACATACTAAGGCCAATGGGTTTCCATGCGTTTTCTGTATGTTCCTGTATGTCGCAGGTAGGGCAGCCCAATCATTTAAATGGAAGTCCCTGGCCCTTTTGCAAAATCACACTGCACAGAATGCATGGTACCATACGGCCACGCAGCACTACCACATGTCTTCTTTATAATTTTTGTGCAAATGTAAACCCAGCCTTAGACAGGAGCCAATTAACCTACCAAAGGAAACCAGAGTACCAAGAGGTCGTGGTTGGGATGATCCCATGATCCTGGTGCTGCTAGGCACAAGTGCTAACCACCAAGCCACTGTGCTGCCCATATCTTCAGTTTCCTTGGTGTTGTGGAATTAAAAGGGTTAAAAGAGAAAAAAAACTGACAGAACAACTCCCCCATGCGCACATACCATTAGTTTATTTTTCTCATATATATTCATTATAGTGTGCTTCTCTCTTGTATATTTTGACACATCAGCTCTGTCTGTCATATGAAGGACGCTACTTTAGATGCTGATGATGACTTGTCGGTGGACAGTCAGCATCTGACAGCTGGGTAGGGATGGGGGTTGTTGGCGGTGTGTGTCTGCATTATCAGTAGAAGGGTAAGCAAAGGGAAATATTCATATAGAATGGTAAGCGAGAACACTGACCATCCAGCTTGTTCCCTCAGGCTCATGTCCTGCCATTGTTGTCCTGACCTACAGGAAGGTCACAGCCAAGCTCTGTCTATGGAGAGGGACCCGTCTGTTATTGACATGTATGCTGCATGCAAAGCTGTACGAAGGAGATGAGGCTACCAGTCTGGGAAGTATTAACAATGTCCCATTTTTCATTTATCAATTAAAGTAATTCAAGTATGTTTTCTTAACTTAGTGGTTAGCACTTTATACTTGCAGCACTGGGGTCATAGATTTGGATCCCAATCATGATACTACCTGCATTGAGTTTGCCTGTTCTCCCTCTGATTGCTCTAATTCCGACATGCTCAGCGATATGGAAGCTGGGGATGTGTTTAAAAACCAATGCTGTTTCTAATGCAAGCCCTATAATGGTGGGAGCTAAAGGGTTAAATACCCTTTTGAGATTTTAAATTTCCTGTGTCTCATTTGGCAGATCTTCTTTCACTTCCTGTCCCAGAGACACAACAGGAAATCTTTTTAAGGTGAAAAGAAGTCCCTTTCAAGAGAGTTGTCACCAAACCAGGAGTCCCCTTTTCCTAGATTCCTGTGATGATTTCCAATCATTTGTTCAGAGACATCTTCCTAAACAGCAATAAAAATCTGACATAGGTTCTAACCTTTCCCCACGCTATCCAAAAATGTAATATAAAATAAAGCTTTAGCGTGTGCTACTAAAATCCCAATAGATCAGCAGTTTTTTAAATTCTCAGACAGGCACATCTGGTGCCAACAACCATGCCACATTCAAAGTCACCTAAATCCCCATTCTGATGTTCGGTTTGAACTTCAGCAAGTTGTCTTCACCACGTCTAGATGCCTAAATGCATTGAGTTGTAGCCATGTGATTGGCTGGTTAACAATTTCTGTTACCAAGCAATTCAACAGGTGTACCTAATAATGTGACTGGCGAGTGTATATATGGATTAGGAAGGAAGGCAGGACCCAAAAAGCCCAGGAAACCAGCAACCCAGAGCTTAACTCTAACCTGGGCAGTCTAATCTTTCTTGCTTACAACAACATACCCTTAGTGGGCACCAGCCTACAGGCAACCACAGGGAACACCCAAATACCTGATGTTGGCTAGGATGCCCAGGGCACAGATAGTAGAGCAAGAACACAGGAGAAAAACTGAAAAAGAATAGAAAGACCAAGCAAGTCCTGCTAATAAAAATTGGCTTTAATCTCACTTTAGGTTTTACTTCTAATAAAGTTGATTGCTGCCATAACCCCATACACGTACTGCATTTCACAGCTGGTGCACAGATGTGATAAGCAACCTTAAGACCAATAATAAGGTGCTTGAGAGGTGGGCCAACACAGCACAGAAAGTGGGAATATGATGAACAAAGCACCCTTGGTGTCATGGAACTCCAAGGACATTCATGAAGATCTTTGAAGGTAGCCACAAGCATCTATAATTGTCATAATTTTATTCATGCTTGTTAGTTCAC